GCCTAATTAGGCGAGACATGATCAGTCTTGGACTGGCTTCGTCCACAAAAGTGATACTCATAGGCCGATTTTGTTGATCACCTTGCTCTCCCAGACGGGTAATCTGCCTCACTTTTACTGAGTATTCACCAGCGTCGAGGAGTCTTTCAACTAGACCCTGTAAAAGCTCGACATCGTGATCGTAGCGCACTTGGGGTGATGGATCACTGGACTCCGGTGCGTGAAATATCACGAGATTATAACGCCTCTTGTAAGACCAGATTGGCTTTGCTGGGCGAAGTATACTACCAGCCTCAAGTGGTTTGGCTAACTGTTGACTTAGAGAACGTAAACGCTCAACGTTCCTTCGTAATTTCGTCCTCTGTTCTTTTCACTGGTCTTCAGCACTCAGACTTTTACCTGCTGGGACATCAGTGTCCGGTGGACACAACAAAGGTAAACAATTTAGGCCAGGTGCAACTGGGCTTCTCACAACGGTTGGACTTGGTGTCGGTGAGTTTGCACGGGTAGAGGAGGACGACTGAGCCGAAACCTGAAGGCTCTTCGCGCTAGGTTGTTGGGCCAAACACACGGAACTGTTCGCAACGAAACGCTGAGGCCTACACGTCGGCTTTACTCTGTCTGGCTGTATCTTATTTCAGCAATTTTCACATATAGTTTGGATGAAATCGTGTTGGATCTCGCGAATACGATGAAAATGCTCAACTGATAATCCAACACACGAAATGTGGTATTTAACTTGGCACAAAATACACGTGAGGACATTTGCACGGTACCCGACTAGTTTGGAGCAAGTACCACAGGATGACTGCTTCGGCATTGTGAATAATCCGAAAACAAGATGGCGGCCAGTTGACGAAGAAATTGGCGATAGCGAGATCGCCGAAACCAAGCGAGGAAACACAAGTATTTCTGGCCGGAAATTTCAGAAGCAGAAATGAAACTGAATTGTATCTCAATTTCCACGAAATACTTCCAACGAACGCAGAAAGTTAACACAAAGTGATCTTGTCAACATTGCCAAAAATTATTCTACACACAGAAAATAAACCCTTACGGAAGTGGGCTCATCTAACTAATTTAAAGCTACCTAGTTATAGGGAAACGGACGACATTTACTTTGAACCGAAAACTCCTATATTTATTGGGTGTTGGAAGATAATCGCGGTGATCTTAGTGATGCGTAAGGCATCAGAATTTCCCTCCACTGGATCGTTTTGGGTCCAATCACATAAAAAGCATCATCTGAATTTCATCCTAAAAACAGTTCTGGAAGTGCCCAAAGATGACGTATTAGTAGTCTTATCAAACGTCGGAACTTGTCTTTCGATGAGTCGCAGTTACGAGATCAAGAAATACCTGGATGATTGTCTCCTGATATTTGCCCAAGCTGAAAAAATGATCATCGCGGATCCCAAGCATACCGTGCCAAAAGAACCCCAGAGTATTCCTATTGACGTCTGCTGCCTCTGTACTGTACTCGTATTTTCTGTCGCCTCTCCTGTCAACGATTATATTGTTACTGGTCTGCCTGTTGCGCAGATAGGTGTGCCAAGTAAGGCTGCACAATCGCAGGAAACATCCACACATAAGAGAGCGTACCACAGCAATTCTTCACGCAATTTACGTCAGCTAGCTGCCGTAAGAGATAATTTAACTGACGATGCGGATGTATCACTCGGAACAGTCAACTTCATTAGTAAAAAGGCAAACACTAGAATCAGTGACAATGTGGGACAGGAGTGCACACGTGCATCTAGATGAATAGGGAATTGGAATGAATTTTTTTTCGGAGACCACCGATATAAATGCAGTCAAATGCTATCGACCTGACTACGGTTTATATTTTAAGGCTAATCGCGACTGCGCTGGCGGCTTACGTGAGCAATTCAGATTGCTATAACAACAGCGATAAAGTCACAAATTAATAGTTATGTGGGGTTAGGTACCTTAGAGGTTTTGTTAGAGGAAGCCCAATGAACATATATATTTGCTCAAACTCTTAGTCGCCTGCATTTGTTTCGCCATCATTTGTTTCTTGACAGTTGTTTAAACGCATCATTCATTTGCTTTGATTGGTTGGCCTAAGTCGTTCAACATGGGGGTGATCTCACGGGACCACTTCCACGAATGCCATTCCCTCGGACTTGCATTATTGGTTCTTACACCTTTCACTGCTCATTCGCCCGTGTTACGCGTTACTTGCCCATTAGCATGGTTGGCTCCATTATAATTTAGTAACTTTGCTGCATAAACCATTGGGTCCTACATATGTTAGTAGTGTTCCCACTAGTCTAACTCATTCCTTGTTCAACTTCGCATGTCTCTTGTTTTCGTGGAAGCGTGAACAGTAGGCAGCGACATAACAGATCCTGGCGAATAGAAGGTTGGCGTACCATGGTTATGGCTTTTGAACAAATGCAGGCTCTACCATAGCAGCGGATACATTTAGAAAATTCACAGCGGCAGTTCATCAAGTTGTTATCGCAATAGCTAAACATACAAGTAGAATCTAAGGGAACGGCATCATCACTTTTCGTTGACCCTATGGCGGCATCGATTTCGGAGTTCGTTTTCATAGGAAGGTCGGATTGCTGACACCTTCGAATCATGATCCAAAAAGTATAAAAAAATGTTCCATGCAGTTAGGGCAAAACAGGATGGTATCTGGACAGTACGCTTGTTGTTGAGGAAAGATGGAACAATTGAGCATGAGTAGTATAAAACTTTGTCTAACCTAACAATCCAAGCGATTTCGGTTTCAAGGAGGGAGTTGGAATATTGAAACAGATAATGGGTAAACATACATCCTACTAAAGTATCCGATACAACTGTTTAAAATTGTTTAAACTAGGTGCGAACGATTTGATTTCACATGATGGCATGGTGAATTGAGCCTGCAGTCGTTTAAACTGGGCACCAGCACAGTTGATCGATTCAAGTGCCTTGCTTTTGAATGCATGCTTCAATTGCATGCAGACGCTGATGATCTAATGCATCTCATACACCAATTGGTACAAGAAAGTTGGCTAACAGCAGAGTATATTGCAGTTGAGTGCCAGAGGCTTCATTTACTTAACATTCTTCATAACTGTCACTCTGGTGACGCGAGTCATAGCAATTGCCTAACGGCACTTCGTTGACTGGATCATGGTTAAACAAATGTACTAAACTGAATTGAAACAACCGGGAAAACTTTAAATATCGTAGACCATATAGAAAAGAGAAATATCAGGTAGAGGTTGGCTAACTGAACAGGAAAGCAAAAGACTAAAAGCGAGAAAACACTCCTCTACCAAGTCGTTATTATTAATAATGTGAAAAGTCTAGCTGAAATTAATGCTTCTTTCCTACAATGCTTATTTGGAAGCTGGTTTTAAGTCTACCGGCGTGCTCATCCTAAACGTGTTTAAACCTTACATTTTACACAAATGCAGGCACATCGAATACTTATTATTCACATGTACGTCACACTGTTTATTTGAATAGGAACATAGCTGCGATAGGATAGCAAACGTTTTGTGCCACTTGTACCTTCCTCCGACAACGCGATGTCCATTTTTGACCAAAGTAAACGCTGAGCGTAAGGTTAAATTCAGTGTTACGGCTAAACATCAGTCAGTAACGAGCCCACATGCATCCAGTTTTCCGCCAAACAATCTGTCCTTAAAAACTGAACAGAATGTATAACTCGTTCACGTGTCGCTAGTCATCGTGTATAGAGCCGTGCTATTTGGGTTAGGCAGACGCCGCAGTTGGGTGCGTAGTGCATCGAGTGAGATCCGCTTGAATTTCCGGACTACCGTCAGCATACCATGGGGTATTCTCAGCGCGCGCAATATGCGGCAATGAATGGAAAATCTCAGACTTATCCCGGTCACATAAGAGATAAAAAGAAAAGCCATAGAACCATATTGCAGAAGATGTAACGTAAAAATGAAACATGAATATTGTACAGCGAATATCCTAATGGTTAACACGCCCGGGAGAGTGATATAGGCGAGAGTGAGAATATAAATACCTGTTTTTTAAAATATATTTACACCGGCGAAGGTAATACAGGGTACGTAGTATAAACGGTAATCATAAATAAAAACCCAGGAGGTATGGCGGCAAATGGGATGTTGCTAGTAAATATGTTTCCTCCTTGTGTATACCACAGGAGGTAGGAAAGTAAAACAGTATGCTGGACCTGCAGTCAAGCCTCTTACAGTCAGTTGTGTTCATCCATGTGTAATGCATCACGTAGGCAGATCACGTTAAGATTCCTTATCAACTGCTGCACCAAATTAAGCTTGCGCTCTCCGGCATACTGTTGAATAACCCTTGTTTAATACAGTAATAGGAACGCATACACAGGAGATGCTCAAAAAAGAGTTGCAAGCACGGACAGCACCCCATTCCCAACGGTTTTATACACGCGCCGAATGAATAGTTTGGTCGTCGCCACATTATACATCCTTGCCATTGGATCAAATCACCGCGGGAAAGTGGTAAATACGATCCACAAATCAACTCGATAAATGAGGCTAATTACACCGAGTACTCTACAACTAAATTACGGCAGTGACAGTTCTTTGACCAAACGTTATTTAATGGTCACTGAGGTGGTTCCGATTTCTCAGCGCATCAAATTACCGATTCACACGCCACGCCATCTGTGTCCATCAAGTTCTCACAGCCGATGTTATTAATGTTGTTGAAGATCTTCATCAGACTTCACGATTCGCACACGCATCTTTTAAATTGCTGCCTTCATAGTGTTGATTGAAAGTCTAAAATGTAACTCTCATGCTACCTCATTGTATGCGACGCCTAGGCTTACTAAACTTCATGCCAAATCTCAACAATACACACGCTTTCCAGTTATAGGCTTTTGTTTTGAACCGTTGATGCATGATTGACGGACGGACACAGTCAACTGAAAGTGATCCATCTCACACATATAGCATATATATAAACGATAGATTGAAAAGTTGACCGGCCTGTTGGAATCTACAATGCTCATTGCTTCGCTTCAATGCTACGTGCTGATCGTACTGGCCAGTCACAGCCTGATGAATCTGTGTAAGTTTCCCCTAACACCCGCAATTAGTATATTCCACTTCGTCGCATATGGTGACCGTGATTGTGTTTGGTGCATTTCAGGCGCGGCGAGTGGCAATGCAGCTCCTGAGCGCCTACCAAATGGACACCGGCGTATTCGACCCAGTCAATTGAGGCCGGAACCAAACCAAGCGAGTGACCTGGTAAGCATGTATCTATGATCACTGAGCAATGGATACCAAATTCAAATGTTTCGCTTAGGACATTCGTTCACTGAAATTTGCCAGTAACATATCGCGATGAGATAATTGCTCCCGATTAAACTAGTTTCTTCGTTACATCCGTAAAGAACAAAGGTACAAAGTAGATTGTTTAATTTTGGACCATATACTCATTGAGGATGCAAATGCGATTTTCACACTTTATTGGATTCTGCTCAATTGGATGATATTCTATTGTACAGCCAACAGGAGATTTTACAGTTTCGCATGGTTTTAGTGAATGCCCACTACTGTAGAGTCGAGAGATTACGGAATGCTATACAGTGCTTATACGCAGGTAGAGATTAATCTGACAGATTCTAGTTATCATGGTTCCTAATTGTCCTTTTTAATATGTCAACTTTGCAATGTTTATGTGCAATATTCCAAAGTGCAGGACACGCTCGTCTCAATAAACGAGGAGTTTTTTGTCGGTGACATGTCAACCCAGTTAAGCAAATTTGTCCACCTCGATATGCCATCTACACTGCCGTTACAACTGCGATGTGCACCATCTGTTTTCAATGTACATTTTCAATGAGATTCAACGATTGAAACAGCATTAGTGAATTAAATTCGGGATCGAATCTCATTTAAGTCGCACGCTAGCTGAATGAGTTTGCAATTATGCAACCATATTGCTACGTCGACAATATGGTATTTTCGATGTGTCCAACTTACGCACCCCATTTCGTTTCTTCTTGCAGAATATTTGGTCTCCTGGATTGCGCCTTTTATAAATGTTCAAACTGGTGTGGGATCAGCGAGTACACACGTGTGCTTTAACTGGATAGTTGTTCGTGCATTCTGCGTCTACCTTGCAATCTACCCACTTCTTGGGAATGTTTTCAAATATACTCATACTGTGTGCATGTTGCTTCTCGTTTTATTGCGTTAAACATATGTCATCTGGTTGAGTAGATTTGCACCAATGATTCGATACCTATGTGACACAGCAGCTGAGGAAGATCAGATCTGTTCCCCAATAATTCTTACAGATCCATTGCGGTAATGAATTTCGGATAATCACATAACAACCAAGTTCAGTAGGATGTTCAGCAACCTCACTCATAAAGAACGGAAACTTGTTTCAACCCGAGCAGAATGCCCCTTTGTTACCCCAAGTTCAGAAGGAGACAAAACACGGAGCGTTAAGCGAACAATATTCGATTAATTCTTTCTCAGGCTCATACAATAATATACATTAGGGTAAGGTCTATGGCAATCGTGAGTAGAACCAAGAAACAATTGATCAGAACCTTTAACTTGTGATCATGATGGCAATCATCTTATCACATGACTGAAGTCAGGTGGAGTTGCGGAGTACCGTCCCTTGCCGTCTGGTGGTCGGCCACGGAAGTGCTGGTACCACGCAACTTCACTTGAATTCAGACATGTGAGCAGATGAGTGCCCTCATGTTCAAAAGTGAAATTTTCCGATCAATTGTTTCGTTATACTGATGATTTCAACAGACCTTACCTTATTGCATACTATTGTATGAACCTGACGAAGAATTAACCGAAAACAATTGATCGCCTTACGCTTCGTGTTTTGTCTCTCTTTCTGAAATTGAGGGAACTTGTTACCTTACTTGCGGTTCTCCAGATCACCGTGAGCTTCGCCGGAAAGAGGAAACGAAGCCGTCAGTTTCTAATTCGCAAGCTAATTAACTGCCTGACTCCGAGGCTCTGCAATGATATTCGTCCAACTGTTATGCTGCCATTAATTGATCCATCAATTGATCCATGGTTTCCAAACCGAAGTTCGTCAATTGGTGATAAATATATTGCTGCTTCATGCGAATTGCTCTTCACCACATGGTAAGAAGCAACACTTTGGCAAAATAGTCACTGGAAATGCTGGGTTGAAAGCAATATTACGAGACATAACACAACCTCAGCAGGTATAATTTTAAGATTCATTGCGCACTTTGAACGGAGGTTATGCACTAATTATTTTTTGGTATTATATGGAACAGTGGTTTATTACTGGTAAACATCGGTAGCTTAGCGCTTGCTGCAAGATGGCCAACTTTGTTAAAACCACACGGCGAATGGAAAACACAGTGATAACATGAAAATCGCTCGATATGCTGACCACAGCGTTCTCTTTTAAGGCACCGAAATGGCCACTGCACGATCTTTGGGTCATCATATTTAGTTGATATAAAATGGTACAACCGTGCGACCATTTTCGTGGTTCTTCGCTGTGGACCTACGAGTACGACTAGACCTTGAGTGTACCAGAGCTGCTAGTTGTAGCTTGCGTATTCCACGTGAGGTCGTACGTATGTGCCAAGCAACTGCAAACAAACAGATGGAGCAATCTGCCCGAATGCTTTCCGCAAAATGCCAAGGTTTTGTTTTCCATTATTTGACGCCATCTCATCTAGGCTCAGTCAGACAGCCGTCACACGCCAGGAATAGCACTATACGCGCGTTTCATCCTTTCGGAAATCGTCAGTAGTGCGCATTACATCGGGCTCTGGTTGGGCTCGAACCCGCAACTCGACTGGTGCCAGTCCGTAGTTGAGAACACTGAGCTACGGGGGACGGAAACGACTATCGGGAATACGTTACAGGATGTGATATAGCGCCGTTCACTATCCACTGACTTACACGTTACTGCCGTGCAGAAGACAGGGTAACTCCTTCACCAAGCGACGAGCTTACCAAACTTAAGCCGCCAATTAACTCATGGCATAAGTAACTTATTCGCAATGGTCGTTGCCGCTCCCCGTAGCTCAGTGGTCTCAACCACGGACTGGCAACAGTCGTGTTGCGAGTTCGAGCCCAACCACGGCCCGATGTAAGACGCACTACTGACGATTTCCGAAAGGATGAAACGCGCGTACAGTGCTTTTCCTTGCGTGTGACGGCTGTCTGATTGAGCCTAGATGTGATGAATTTATTCCTATAATATCCCCAGTTATGGCGCCTGCCGTGATAAATAAATTCAAAATTAACAAAAATTTCACAATGTAAAGTAACCAATTTGCATGATTGACTATAATTGTAAAAGCAATGTAGTAATTGTGGATAGGAAATAGTCTCAGCCACCTAACGTACTTTAGCATTTTCACCGATTATTCCACCTAGTAAAATTAGTTGACAAACTACCTGGACATTTGTTTGATATTTGCGAATAATCGACAATCTATACCAATAAGCATGGTATGATCAATGCAGTTATAACAGTAATGCAAAAAAGCATGTTGTCATTATGCATACATTTTGCATAGACTTGTCTGCCACAACGGTGTGCAATGCTTAAATGCGCACATATTATTAGAGTTTAACTAAGCGCGCACTACAACTTTATCTTCTAGTTGTTAGACTTAGGATATTCGGTTTGATTCCTTCGATTTCAATATTATAAAATCCATTTTGAAATATTTGTCACAAACTGTTAGTTAACAATATTTAATGTAAGTTGTACATAGGGATATGTGTTTTCTAATCAGCCTATTTAAGTAAATATAAATTTTATAAATTCTCCATATTGCAGCTGGTGTCAAGTAACGCTGAAGCAGCTGTAGTTGTCGTTCATTTTGCTTACTTTGTTATTAGGCTTTATGAAGCATAACAATGAAATTATCCGTCTAATCTGGTGGTGTTAATTTCGTTTTTTTGCCACGGCTTCTAAGACAAATTTAAACGCTATGTTTTATTTATTGATTCCTTGAATGACATGTTTGCAAAGCCGCAGACTTAGCAAACTAGAACTATGATTTTCTTACTTAAATAATGGAACAGGAAATATTGGTGGACAAGTAAAACATGATTGCACATTGGATGAGAAGTGGGATGTTGTTAAGTTACATAGAATTGCTGATACTTAGCATAAGCTATTTAAGCAATAACCGGCAATTCCTGTTTACAACGAGGGGAGCAGTTCCTTGTCCAATCACCGTGCTTTACTTATTGTAAACAAAGTGGAACATTAGTCACTTTTAAATCAAATGAAATCCGTAACCACATTCTCTTCGGTTACTTCTTTTTGCTACAGTACAACTTTACTCACCGAAGTGAAATGTTGTTCATTTTGAACCTCCGTAACCCGGTTCATGCCTGGCATTTGGCTCTTCTCTATGCAACGTCCATTGGACCCTCAGCTGATTGTAGTATTGTAGCTTTCAGATAGCCTATGAAGACAGGTTTTGATAAGGTTGTCGCTTTGTAACGATTTAAATTAGATTAGCAGAAATGGTTACTCTTGACACATCACACGTGTACAGCCCTTGTACAGATTTTATATCAAGACCGTGTCATTTATTAGTAACTAATGAAGAAGTGTAATGTCAATGAAATATTTTGCATTTTAATAAATTGTAATCGGTATTTGGGTGAAGTCTAGGAGTACTAGAGATAGTTGCTGGTGTGAGATCTATATTGCTTCAATCGAATTTAAACCTAAACTCATTGAATCTAGTAAATTAATGCTGAGACAATATATCTATTATTAAATCGAGTATTGCACTTTATGTAAGATGGTAAAAAATGTGGACTTTATCTTGGTTAATTTTGCTTTCTCGTGGAAGTGGTACTTACGTATTGAGCAGCCATTTGCCTCATCGTATCTAGCTTCCGACGTTCGCCATTAATGAAGTATTTATGCGGAATATTCTGGTTTAGAAACGTTGCCTTATGATGTGCTGTTCCTAAGTAGCCGCGTTTTAAGGTATAAGCATGCATCTGCGTAGAATTATTGAGTTTGCAAGATAAAAGTACATAATTAATATCTCATCCATTTTGATCGTACTTGTCTGGTACGGATTTCAATAAGAATTGAACATCGAACTTAAATTAAAGAACATGAATATAATACGTCTAGTTAAATTGCGAAAATATGAACAGTGTCATTGTTCCTCGAATTGATTACCACGTACATCACTCATGCTGTTTTGCACTCAATAATTATTATCACGATCAGAATTTTGCTAATTAATTTGTCTTTTTATGAAAGCACTGCCGATGTGTTCATATGACTACAAGTATAGTCAAGCTTAAAATGTTAACGGAAATACGCCATTAAAATCTCTTTAAAATTAGCTAATCGTGTTCCATAGAACAGCATCTACAAGCAGAACGGTGTTTGATATAGTTCGTATAAGTTCTCCTTAACTATACTTGTCCATATTCAGTTTTAAATAAACTTTTTCGCTATCTTTAATGAAGTCAAATTACTAATGGAGTTGAATGGCATAAGTAGGATTTACCACTTCAAGAATTGCGTAGTAAAGCGATTCGCAGTGTTTTCATTGTCTATAGAAATCGTTTAAAATTATCGTTGGTTAGGAATGTAAGCTTGTACTTTCAGCACGCACTTAGTTGCCCCGACCTGCTGCTGCGTTTCTGCAACCACCGCAACGGCGCTGTCAGCACAAAGACGCTTGTCAACTGGCGAAGACATATGTTCTGAATGGGTATCAAAGTACGTTGGCACCTTGAGTAAGTGCTCGCTACGCATAGTTGAAGATCACTGGTTTCAAATCCGTTAGGCATTGTTAGCAACAGGTATGTTTCGTGTGGTGTATCAAAACGCCAGCCTGGATATTAGGTCGCTACGCAGTCTTCACAAATTATGAACGCTCGCCGACACATTCCGGCTGGAAGTGAATACAGCGATACTTGCAAATATTTCAGGGCGAAACTGCTTGTTGAACGTAAGAGTGCACGCAGTGTTGTGGTCACATCGTGCCCCCAGGATGGAAACGGCAGCTACTCTTGGTAACCATCG